TTTTTATAAAAAACATTAATAACTTTTTTGTTTATAAATTTTTGACTTTTTTTTAACGCCATTCGATAGAGTGCATATGAAAACATAAGAAATGATGATTCGTGAATTTTTCTATTGATTTTTAAGTACCGAAATAAGTCCTCAAACTTCATGCCAAAATTTTGTCCATTTGGGCGTTAAAGGGTTAAAGCTCAGGAACTGCTCTTTCGAATGCTGCAATAACAAATATTGAAAATTTATAAATAAACAAATTACATACAGTTATTTAAAAAAAACACAATTTTTTAAAGATTTTTTTTTGAAAATCAAATTTTTTTTATTATTTACGGCGAAGGAATACGTCTCAAAGGTAAAAATATCGCGTCAAAAATGTCTAACCTAAAATGTTGTAAAAAAAAATTAGAAAAAAACAAAATGGCGGATCAAAAGTGGCGTTCAAATTTGACTTTTTAATAAATAATATACAGCAAGTGCACATTTTTTTAAAAACCTCACAGATTCGCTTGAAACTGGTTACTCGGGGGTTTTTGGGGTCGCTGATTACAAATATGATAATAGTTTTTAAAAGTTCAAAATGGCGAATCCAATATGGCGGACACTTTTTTCAAAATTTTATCGGATTCGATTGAAACTGGTTACTCGGGGGTTTTTAAGGTCGCTGATTGCGAATATGATAATAGTTTTCAAAAATTCAAAATGGCGAATCCAATATGGCGGACACTTTTCAAAACTTCATCGGATTCGCTTGAAAATAATTACTCGGGGGTTCTTGGGATCTCTAATTACGAATATGATAGTGGTTTTCAAAAAATAAAAATTTCGGAGCATATACATTAATTTTTGTAATGTTTTACAGTAGTAACTTCAGAATTGCGTTAATTTTATTTTGTTGTAAAATATTTCAATTTTTATTAATTAATTATTTAATAATTCGAAAAAAGCGTCATTTTTTCGTTTTAGATATTGAAAGTACACATCTTAAGCTTTTTTTTGGTACAAGAAAAAGAAAAAATGGGTCCTTCTTGAAAGAAAAATCAAAAAAAAATTATACTAAAAAAATATAGGTATATATTACTTGGTGGTTAATTAGTCATACATATTACTAACTACTGTGAAAATATTAGCCCGATCCAACAACTTGCAATTTTGACATTGGTACACTCGATAAAATTTGCCCCTTAAACATAATTAATCTTTAATTATGAGGCTTCAAAGACAGACAAAACTCGATAATAACAAAGAACAGTTACTATTAGTAATATTATTATTAAGTTTAATATTACTATTATATTTTACACAAATTATTTGAAAGCAAAAAAGGGTTTAAATTTTTATAATTTCTAACCTGCATAATGTACATGCTCCGAGATTTTATTTTTTAAAATCTACTATCATTTTCATAATCAGAGACCCCAAGAACCCCTCCTAATCAGTTTCAAGTGAATCCGATGAACTTTTAGAAAAAGTATCCGCCATTTTAAATTAGCCATTTTGAATTTTTGAAAACTACTATCATATTCGTAATTAGAGACCCCGAGAACCCCCGAGTAACCAGTTTCAAGCGAATCCGATGAAATTTTGAAAAAATGTCCGCCATATTGGATTCGCCATTTTAAATTTTTAAAAACTATTATCATATTCGTCATCAGCGACCCCAAAAACCCCCGAGTAACCAGTTTTAAGCGAATCCGATGAAGTTTTGAAAAATGTCCGCCATATTGGATTCGCCATTTTGAATTTATGAAAACTATTATCATATTCTTAATCAGCGATCTTTTTTTTTTTTTTTTTTTTTCTTAAATGACTTGAAGCTAGGCCAACTGTCAGAACACACACTCTTATATACCAACTACTTTTTGCGTTTCTACAGAACGACTTTTTGAGGTTAGGAGTACTCGCATTTGCCTGGACCACCCGTCAATGGGTTTTCTCGCCAGAGAAGAGGGAAACTGTAGAAAACCTCTCCTGACTACAACCGGTTTATCGACAGCCGAGTTTTAACGGTGTGTACTGAACAATAATCGACAGTGCACATCATTATACCTCGACGTCAAACCTCCCGCTCAGATTATCTCACGTGCCGGAAAAATCCCAGGCTAATGGGCGCGAACCAAGTACCCTTGGTCCGCCCACCGAGCCAGGCATTTATCTAATGATAATTTTTGTCGTTGAATGTTAAAAAAATATTATTTTAACAATTTTTTTTTATAGATAAATAAAGAAAAATCGATTTTTATAAGAAACTTCAAGCGCTATTTGATTCTACGCTAAAAACCACTACGAAAACATATATTACATAATTTTTTAAAAAAGACCTATTGGTGTAAAAATGTTATAAACAATTAGCCTGCATTCATATTGTATGAGGTATAAGAATCGTTTTTGAAGTTAAAGATTTTTTAAAACAAAATTAGCTTAATCAAGAGAGTTTTTGACGTTAAAAATTTTTTTAACAAAATTTCTACCTCAAAAACTATTTATGTAAGTAGAAATAAATAAGAAAATGTCTTCCGAGCGAGCGTTAGCGAGCGAGGAGTATGACGCTAGTATAATATTAAATCCTATTTTTTAAACTTATATTAAATTAATTTTGTATATAAAAAATTAGATTTTTCCAATACGATTTTATTAAAAAAAATTTATTTTAACTTTTTATTCTAAAATATAATTTTTACGTATTCTAAAACATTTCAACTTTTCAATTAAATAAAAATATCTATAATTAAGACATATTGTAAAGTAATATTCAGTTTTAGATTTTACTATATTGATAATAAAAATCAATTGCATTTTGAGTAACCAGGTAAGAAAAATCTATGAGAATTTTGAAAATTTATCTCTTTCGACGTTTGTAAAAAAGCGCATGATCGCGGACTTGTTTACATCGCTCTTTTGTTTTTAACCAAAAAACGCTGTTACCGAAAAGTCAAGCGATATTAAGAAGTGAAAAAAAACTATTTCAAAGCGTATTTGTGGCTTATTGTGACAATTTAAAGAAAAATTGTAGTGTTCAAATGCAGGTAAGTAACAAATTGTTTTTCCAATATAATAAAAAATATGTCAAAACCCAAAAAGTAGGATGTCTAGTGAGTTGGGAATTCGGGAAACCCCGAGACATTTCTTTCAAATCTGAGAGATTAGATATACATATTTTTTTTGTCTTTTTGAAAAAATTAAAATCTTTCAAAATGCATACAATTTATCCATATTCCACTATGAAAAATAAAAAAATTTTATTTTTACATAAATATTATACAAATTTTTTTGATTTTTCAACAATTTATTTTTTTGGAAAATTGACATTTTTTGAAAGCCATGCACATGATTGTAAAATTAAAAAAAATTCAATAAGTAATTTTGTTTTTAAAAAAAGTTTTATTATTTTAATTTCTTTTTAAAAAATCGCTTTTTATTTCAATTTTATAGATATTTATACTGTTCTCTAAATTTCAATTAGCTAAAAATAATTAATTTTATAGTAAAAAATATAAATATACAATAAAATGTATTGTGACAAGAAAGAACATTTTTTTTATCAGAATGTGACTTATTTTATTTGTTTTTCTTAGTGTGAAAAATAACTTTGAGCAAACTTTACGCCAATTATTTTTGAATCAGTTCTATGATGGTTAAAATTTTTAAATACATCAATAATGTAATGTTTTTTAGAATAAATGAACTTTGTAAAATTTAATTAAACATGATAATAAATTTTTGAAAATATGTTTGATATATTTTGTATTTATACTATAGTTTTTTTTTATTATTTATTAAATTGAAAGTAATTTTGATTAAAAATAGAAAACGTTAGTAGGTTGATTTATTCTTTATTATTGTTTTCTTTTCTTAGTTTGAGAAGGACAATATTTAATCTAATTTTAAATAATAGTATAGAATATTAGAGTGGGCTTCTTTTATTGTAATTGAGTCATTAGAAAATGTTGTTAATATTAGTAGTTCAATGTTACATTGTGAGTTTTGATTAATGTTAATCATATATGTTTACTGTTTTTTTTAACTTCGAGAATTGTTTTCTCTATTGCTATTTTGTGTTAAATATTACTTTTAAAATGCTATATGCGGACATTTACATTTTAAAAAAATTCAAAAGCACAATTTATTAGAGCTTAAATGTCATTTAATTTTATTAGTAAGTCAGTTTGGAATTTCGATGGTTATTTTAAAAAAAATTATAGTATTCCATATTTTTATAAGAAGGTAAAATAACGGAAGGTGTGGGAATTTTGATTTTAAGAGTTACAATGATCTAGTTTTATCCTTTTCTTTAATATTATTGTTTTTATGAAGTTTAATTCATGCCTATTTATAGAAACAAGCAAATTATTTACAAGTAATTTTATTCATTTTGTTTATTTCTGATACGATGATGGTTTCCTGACAAACGATATTCAATCAAATTTACCTATTTTAACCCATATTTATAAAACATGCATATTTTGTATTTATAAGTATTTACTTGCTTAACTATGTACTTTTCTCAGAATTTAATAAATATGTATGTATCCCTCATAGTATTCATAAAATTCTATTTAAATTCTACATCCCATTTAATCAAATACTATTTATAATAAGCTATAGTGTATTTTTTCCTTGTACTATGTTACTATGTATTGTATGTCATATGTACCCATATTTTGAATTAAATGATTTACCCGTGTTTATTATATAGTTCCTTTATGATATTTAGAGACACAAAAAAATAAAGCTTTTCTACACTTAACCAATACCTAACCTATTGAAACCAAATTTTGTTTCTAGTATTTTTGGTGTTTTGCTTCGTAATGTTGTATTTTCTTCAAAATAATGCACATTTAACTTGTGCTTTAAATACCCTTTTAAGTTTGATCTTCCTTTTTGAATTTCATCAACCCATTTTCTTTTAGTGCCTTCTTTTACTTCTAATTTTGGTTTTGATAAATTAATTTGCCGTATGAATGACATTGATTCCGGTGTACGCAAATTTTGCTGAGTGGCACCGTTCAATGTCCTCGTCGTCTCTTTCTTTTCCGTGTTACATCTGATTTAACTGTGGAAATATGTATGTCTCGTTTTCTTATTTCTTTCTGATTAATTGTTTTGAATAAGCATCTTGTGGAAAAATCCTTTGCAATTTCTGAATTCTCTTGATTAACAGTTTTTTTAGAAGAAATAATATTATTCATTGTAAGAACTTCCTTCTTATATAATGTTTCACTTAGAGTGTTATTGTATTCATTTAAAGTTTGACCACTAAATTCTTCTTTTCTTTCTTCTTGTTCATTTTTCATACCTTTTCTTAGTTTTATAATAGGACCGTCGGAATTCACATGTTCTAATATTGAATGCGAATTATCTACGATTGGGATATTTTCGTTGTTTACCTGTATAATATCAGAAAATTCTTCACTTTTCTCGATAATTTTTTCGTTGATTTTTTGATCTGATTTTATCTCACTTAGTGTATAGTTCACTTTAGATTTCGAAATATCATTTTCTTGTTGTAAAACTTCATTAATAGGACAAGCATGGTTGTTTAATTCGTGTTCTTTTTTTGACTCCATTGTAAAGTAGGGTCTTTCCGAATCAGATTTTTGTAAAGTGTCCTCCTTATTTTCTTCATCGTCTTCAAACATTTCATTATCCACAAATTCTTTCATTTCCTTTTCTGGCAGTTCTTCACTGATGCTGATATCTTCCTCATCATTGGAACTGTCCATAATAAGATTCATGTACTCCACTATTTGTTCTTCTTCCAAAGGCTTTTCTTTACTGTGAATGGATTTTTTGTCGCTGGATTCTTCACTTTCAATTGCAGATTGTAGTTCATTTATAGAAGGTGATATGTTATGATCCCATTGTTCTGTATCCTTTACAAGGTTCATGTTTGTTAGCGATTCCCTGAATATAACTGGTGGTATTACGAAATCTTCATTCCGTTCTCTATTAAATTTACGTTTGTTTATAAAATAATCTCTTCTATAATAATCATTGTTGAAAGATGGTTCCTGTCGATTACATAATCTTCTATAAATTTTCTGTTGTTCGTTGTATCTTCTTTCTCTTTCACTGAGATGATAACTTTGGTCATCGTCGGTGTATGAGTTCTTTCTGGAATTAGTGTTATAATCTTGAAAATACTGATTTCTGTTGTTAAAATTTTCTCTTTCATAGCCCTGTGATGTCATGTCCGTATTTTGCCAATGTTCTTCTAAATCCGTGTTCCTATTTTGGTAATCAAATTCTTTATTGTCATAGATCCTTCTATTAAATTGTTCACTTTGTGGTTGGTTTCTTATTTGCCATTTTTTGCCAATTGGTTCGTAGTAATTATTCTGTGTATTTGGTTCATACATGCTGCATTGGTTATTCGCATCTTGGTAGTTGTATCGATCCTCATAATCCATGTTATCATCATAATAATCAAAACCTCGTTCATAATCACTTTTTTCCATCCTGTGCACATCTCGCCTAACGTTATAATTATTTTGGTATTGATTTGTTTCGAAATTGTCATTGATCATATACGATTCATCATAGTCATAGCATCTATAGTCTCTATGCTCCTCTCTTTCGTAATCATCCTGTATGTTGTTATATCTTCTACATTCGTCTCTGAGATCTTCGTGTTCTTCGTCGGAAAATCTGTGTTGTAAATTTCTGGATTCTGGATCTCTGAAATTATTTTTATGATCCATTGCTTCAAAGCTATATCCCTCCGATTTCCATTTTTCTATGTAGCCTCTCCGTAACATTGCTTCATACACTGTGCCCATTTTATGATTTAATACGATTTAAACATAAGCAATAAAAAAATAATTGATTTTGTTTAACTTCTATTTAAATGGAACTGTAATTTAATTTGAAGTCTTTCATATTTTTTTACGTAATGTAGTAACACGATTGACCTATATCGGCTCATGTTACAGTATTCTGTTATTGTTTTTACGTTTATATTATTAGACTGCTTTTTGTGTTTTGGCTATTTGCTTTGTGAAAAACCATTAAATCAACAAAAAAAACTGCTTTTTATTACAAAATTGCTTGATACTAATAAACATTTGATCAAAAGAAAAATTTTGCATTTTTTTTACTGTACTTTGTCAATCCTGGATTTACTTTTTAAATTTATGTATACATCAAATTAAAAAAAAAAATTCTCGACTCTTTTCAAAATAATAATAAACAATTACTATTTGATTAAAATTATGATTCTCTAAAAAATTTGACACCACTTTTGATAGAAATAAATTTATGTATAATTTAATATATAATTAAATTATATATTTTATTTTATTTTATTATATATAATTTAATTTCTTTAATGCTTTGCTGATTGTGACCAGCCTTGACTTTGCAATTGTACCCCGTTTGACTCGTCAGCAGTCTTCCTTCCTCAATCTTGCAATTATTTTATATATTATGTATGTAATAACTGAAACTAGTTCTTCAGAGATGTACGTATCTCAATTTTATGCCAAATAATTATTTACCAATATTTAGTAAATATTTTTTTTATATAAAAAAAAATTAGTAATTGATCTTATTTTTATTTTAAACTTGATAGGTATTTTTCAAACGTTCTTCTGTTAATAATCATTTATTAAACATTTAAAAAGAAATTTAAACCAAGAAATTAAAAAGAAATTTTTATTTTCAATTCTTTTGTAATATTCAGATAAAACCCATAACTAATCGTTATTAAATTTTATAATTTTTAATCCTCTCACTTGTCCAAGTGGCTACACACTTCCGACAAGGTTGTTTTTTTTATTCGAGGAAAAAGAACCGATTTATTAAGGGAACCAGTGCTTGCCGATTGCAAGGGTAGTTACCGTTCCCTAAACTCGACATTAGCGAGTAAACAAAATTTCTAAATACCCTCACTTGATAAAAAACCAAATAATAAAATTATTCCTGAAAAGGATAAAATATTTCATAATAAGCATATTTTGCAGATAGAAAATAAATTCAGTATTTCATTTATGTATATAATATGTGTATAAGTGTAAATATATGTATATATATTTTTTATTTCGTGTTTTTTTAATTTTTTCCTTTATATTTTTATAAATAAAAGAAAAGAATCCCACTGCTGCCACCAATTTTGTTAGATATAAATTTGATTATTTATTTATTAACAAAATAAATCTTATTTCAAACAATTCCCACTTTAACTATAATGAAAAAATACTTTCGACAAATTAAAGAGAATAAAAGTCAGAAATTAAATATCTCAAGATAAACGTATTTGCTCTTCAGAATAAAAAATATTAAAAAGGTAGTGGATCCCTTTCTTAAACTGTTATCTAGTCAACAGTTCCGATTAAACGGTACTTACTTGAATATAAAGGAAGGAAAATATTTTGTAATAGGTGTAAGATTTCAATGATACGCTATTCCATCTAGTTAAAATAATATATGATTTATTATTAACAATTGTATATATTTAAACCAAATGACAATTTTAATTTTATATGTTTGTTATCAATTATAAAAAAACAATAATTTATTCTTTTGCACAATATCATGTAGTATCAAAATGAATGTGTAATTGTATAAATTGTGTACTGTGATGGACAATATTAAATCAACTCACCAAAACAATTTCATTTCATTCAACTTATTTCAGAAAAGTATCTTATTACCTCCTCAGGTGGAATGTTTAGTATACACCTGTTTTGAGATAAGTATTTCTGTACTCCAATTTTATTTCCTTGGTCACTTTTTTATTTTCAATATTAATCCTCATATATATTTATACTATTTGAAAACTCACGATGAAATAAATTCCTTTTTCTCTTTCACTGATTCGATACAATTGAATAAATATTCAAAACTCGGGGTCACCGGACTTAAACTTTATTCAATTGATCTATTTTACTTTTTGTTTAAATGCACTATATTTTTAATAATTAATCACTTTAAATTGTAATGCAAATTCCTTTCTATCAAAATAATGGACAAGACAAAATCAAAATATCAAATCGAAAAAATAAAATATCGCAGAAACTTCACAAAATATATATCTATATTATTTTATATAATCAGAAAAAAACTCTCAATTCCCGAGAGCAACAAAGTAATTATACACAACTTTGTTGCGGGAGGAACCAAGTCAAACTCAATCGTTAATCGGCTCAAGTCTTGGATCACACCCTGAATTTCGTTAAATTATTAATAGTGGGGATACTATTACACATAGCTCATTGAACTTCTTGTTGCGAAGCAAGCTTTTCGCAAGCTTGAAAATTCCTTAAATGGCATGACATGAGTTCAATGATTTCTCACCACAGTAGTTTCACTTGTATGTGTCTTTTATTTAAAATATTTGACATCAATACATCTGAGTTTTTCGATGAAAAACAAGCTCTTTGGAAACTGTAATGAAATTCATTTTGAAATATGGGTGTTGTCCGTGACTTTCGCAATAATTTTATAAAATTGACATATCTAAATAATAATGAAACCAAGGAAGTTTAATGAGAGTTACTAATTTAATAGAATTGAAATTAATAATCTTATTACGATGATAGGTTGTTTTGTCTGCCCTTTTAGTGTTTGTGTATATGTGTACTTAACCTAATAACAAGATTCCCAATTTTAATGAAGCTATATAATATAAATTTTAATAAATAAAAAAAATAAAAATAGTTACGAAGTCATACGTAACAGCAAAATTCTTTAGATTTACTAAATTCTTTTGAATATTACCTATATAAAAAAAAATTTTCACAAAATTCAATTATGTTCATAAAATTCTAATAAAATAATTCAATTATTTTCAAAATTAATAAAATTCTTTGCAGAAAATCAATTATGTTTAAAAATCTATATTAATAATCGTTGTATTCCCGTAATATGTTCGAAGTTTGAGCTTTTGTTTTTTTTTGCTTCTTAACTTTTTTAATTCTCCTTTCTAAATATTTTCAATTTTAAAATCATTGAATTGTTGCAAAGAATTTTATCAAAAAATTTGATAATAATAAAATTCCTTCGAAAATTTTATTATTTAGAAAAATAATTTTGTTAAAATTTTTAAAAAATTCTAATTAAATTCTTTTTGAAGAATTTCCTTGAATTTATTTTAAATAATAGATTATTTTAAAGATTTTTTCTATTTATAAATATAATTAAATTTTTTCGAAAAATATTAAAAAATTTTTAAAAATTGTGTCTTTTATGAAATTTTATTAAAATTGTATTAAAAATAAATGATTTTTTGCAAAGAATTTTACTATTAATAATGTTATTTAATTGTTTCGAAAAATTTATTAAAATTTTTAAAAATAATTTAATTTTGTCGAAAAATGTTATTAAAATTTTTAAAAAAATGGAATGTTTTCATGAAATTTTATTAAAATTGTATTAAAAATAATTTAATTTATTTTAATGTTTGAATCAAAATATTTAAATTCTTTGAAAGGAAGTAATTACTTTTATAAATAGTAAAATTCTTTGCAGAAATTCAATTAGTATCAATACATTTTAATAAAATTAAATCAATCAAATTTTTAATTATAGTTATGAACCAAAACCAACGCTATTTTAAGGCATTTCAAGGTCAAATTTATTATTTTTACAAGCAAAAAATACTTTTTATTAATATTTCACATTTTATAAAGGGTAAATCTTTTTAAAATCTAATATTCTGAAATTTCTTAGGAATCAGTGACAACGATCTCAAGTGCCGAATGATGTAATGCTCACTTTCGGATTCGAGATTTCCTGACGAATCAGCGACAAAAACTTACATCGAATGCGAATCGATTACAAGAATCCTGTGGATGAAGATGGGCATCCTGTGTCACTTGACACTGAAAAAATCCCGAGAGTGTACGGTAATAATAAAAAAAACCATTTGAGAAGAATGAGACTGTGACTGTTGACAAGTTTTCCGATTTAGTGTCTGAAGTTGAGGAGGAACAAGAAACTTTTCCATTGCAGATTCTTACTCCTCCTCACACTCAGTCGTATGATTTTGAGACATTTGATTTGCCGTCGAGTAATGAATTGTATTTAAAGGCTGAAAATGAGAGGTTGCTTGCGATGATTAAAAAAATGAGTCAACAGTTATTTGATATCAAGAAAACAACAGTTAAAGATATTCCGGAAGATAATGTTACGAATAGTATCGATGTTAAAGAGTTTTTGAACTGCAACAATGTAAAACAGGATGCGCGAAAAACTATGATTAAATTACAATTAATATCAGTTGACTCTTGCCAACCATACACTAATGAGGAGAAACTTTTATGCATGAAAATCCACTATTGGTCGGCTTCAGCTTATGAATGAATGCGTCAAACCGGGATACAATTGCCTCATAGTAGAACAGTCGAAAAGTGGGTGCGTAGCAAAGTGGGACGAAATGAGCTGCAAAGAATTCGAGGATTACTCTAAAAAGTATGATTATATAGAGGGCTTCGAAGACTTTGGGCCATTGGGAAGAACTCAAAACCGTGCTAGTCACGTTTTTGTTTTCACCCTGAATGGCATACATCCCTCTCATCGCTGGCGAATAATAGCGGGCTTTTTTCTTGTTCGTCACCCTATGAAGGGAGGTATGATCGCAACCCTGCTTAAAATGCTACTTGACAAAGCCGACCAATATGGACTTAGTGTTAAAATCACAGTGTGTGATCAAGGAAAGCCGAATGCTAAATGCTACAGTGACTTGTCTGTAACACCTGAAAAACCTTACTTTTATTACAAAGGGAACAAAATTTTTGTCACTCATGATTTTTCACATGAAATAAAAAATTTTGTTGCAGCC